ATTGTGAGAACAAAGGGATCAAAAAGGAGCGGAATCTCCCGCAGGGACAGCCGAACCATTTCTCCGTGCCGTTGAAGAGGCTCACCTCAGGAATGTCTAAGTTTCCAGCTACCACTAAAGCTCCTATGAGATTCTCCATGCCATCCGAACGTACTTCGGCGACTGGTATCTGTAAAATCAAATTTCATACAAGGCGTACAAATGGAATACCTATGGTATACTCAGTAGTCACCTGACTTCCCGTAATTATCACCGGTTTACCGAGATTCTCCATCATAAACGATAATGCACTAGCCGTGTATGCTAATGTGTCGGTGCCATGTAGCACGACAAACCCGTCGTAATTATTATAGGCCTAAATAATTATGATTACCATACCTTTGCAATGACGAAAATGAAACAACAAACAAACAAATGCTCGTAAAGTAAACGTAAACAAGTAAAGGAAATTAGGACTTCGGTCTTGTATAAACGAAAGTGAAAGATGAGATCGTAGAAAACGTTGCTGGCCATTTTGAGGTTCCTATTTAGTGCACACTTCGCTTCTCGTAGATAATGGGATGCAGAAAATGATCTGAGGGTGCCAAATGGGAAAAAGCAAAAATACCGCAAAAATCTGTGATGCTTCAAATGAGACCTCTTCACTTTTGAGGGTATTAGGCGAGTATGTGAAGACGAGAGACTGCAAGTTCGGATGCGTGAACGAACAAGAGGGTACACTATCGTTAGACTGGTCAATGTCTGCATGTGCCTTACAAGCATAATTTTCCGTGGTAGGTTAATATAAGCCTATTCGTAGTCTCTAGATCTTATCTGGTTGTTTGACACCAACAGGCTCTAAAGTTACATTGCGAAAGAACTCATAAGTTCCAAGAAATGCCCCTAATTCTGCGATGTCTCGGTGTCTAGCCTGGCGGGACAGAATTCGGCCCCTTGAGCAGGCGGTGGCTCCTTTCCCAAGAAGGTACCCTTATAGCGCGCTACCAAGCTGCAATATACCGACCCGGACGCCGACGCTCAGCCAGAAATGTCCGACCGATGCTGATGCTCGTATCGCTTCATTTGAACTTTGGCACAGCGCGAAAGGGAAACTCGTCCGATATTGTTTCTGAGTCGTGCAGAAGGGCTTTTTCGCAGGTTGGTTTGGCCGTTTCGCTTCGCTTTTTTGCCATTTTCCCCACTGTATAGCACCCTCGCGATCATTTTGAACGGAGTACTAGATTATCATGCCTTGTACCTTCGAAAGGATTGCCAAAACCTATCATTATCTGTTCTTCCCACTGGAGTAACTCCAAAAAGAGCGCTCACGGATCTTACGCGGATCGCTAGCAGCTCGTCAATTTAAGCGCCACAGCGCTCTGATCTTGCACCTGCCCCTGTTGCTTAAGGCCATCGCCCCGAAATGTCCAACCCTTTCTGCACCCGTGCAAGTCGCAGTGAGACGCTCTGCTCATGACATCTCTCTTTAGCAGCAATCATGTATTATATCAGTACCAGTCGGATCGCCCGGCTGACGCCGAGCTCTCCTACCTTCTCTTTAGCTCGGCTTCGCCGAGCTAAAGAGAAGTAGGAGAGCTGGGCCTGCCTTCACCAGGCGCGTATAAATAATTTTAGGTACTTTACTCCCTTATTATTCATTCTCATCAGTAATTGAAAGTTCGAAAGAAAAAAAATTCTCAAAATTTTCCTGACTTTCCTGTTTCAGGCGTACTACATACCCCCCCTCCCCCTCCCCTCCCCCTCCCCCCCCCGCTCGTCGACATCGACATTATATAGAGAGGATAGTGGGATGAGTTCATTTTCTAGTGTTATCAGGAAAGTGTTGGCCAAAGGAAAGATTCACAATCTGAGCCTCGAACTCGGCATTAAAGCGGTGAGAGGTAATACAAATGTAGCGCAGATGGTATCGTATCCATTTTTATCGATTGATAAGATTACCTGTCACCCGTCATCAATGTCCTCATCACTAAATCTCTATGATTTGGGAGCGTGAACCGCCTTGAACAGCGACGACGACTGCAACCTCCATTATCAGCCCCCATCACAAGTTACACTTTATTAAATTTTTATCGGACATTTTACTACCATATTAAAGAGCACATTAAATACTATAATGATACTCCGCCACAGCCTTCTGGAGGAGCGCCATCGAGAGATTCGGCCGCGCGAAAGTGAGTGGGTACCGGAGTTGAGCGAGATCGTTGATTTCTCCGCCACTGTAGACCACCCTATTGAACTCCGCCCGAACTAGGTAATTGAGTGGATTCAGGTCAGGGGACATACTTCAATATTACATCTTCTTCAGGTACCACGCCCTTGCATTCGAAG